ATTCAGATTTTTCAGCAATGATTATTCTAACAATGCTATATAGTCAAAGGAATGCCTTTGACATTGAGAATGATATGCCGTGTGACAAAACTTAGCACTTAAACTTATCTGTAAGTTCTTATTTTTCAGAAAATCCACTCATATCACTCAGGATTACTTTGTATAAGTATGTCCCCAAGTATGTTCTATTTTTTTCATCAGATATTTCATTTAAGCATTGACACAAAGCTCACATTCTCACATATTTGAATTAAGAGTCTCATTATCCATTCTCATTAACCACTCGGGAAGTGCAAAAACATATGGAATTTTAGACTTGGGTTACCTGCGTAAATGCCTATCTGTGATGACAAACAGATACACTCTGTAACATGCATGAAAACAACAAAAATGTAGATTTCATATAATGATCCTCAATTCTATTACCATTGTGACTGTAAACAATTATTATTTTCCTAGTACCACAATATTTGAGCATCTCAAGATTGTAAAAGTACTGAGTTATGCAGTACTGTGAGACGGGGAAATTCTATTATCCCCCTTTTATAACTGGCAAATTGAAGTTACACGGAATGTAAAAGACGGGGATTTAGGACAAACAACCGCCCTGATGCACTGAGATCCAATGGTAAGTTCCATAAAAAGGAGTATAATAGTTACACATCATGTTCTCTCAACAAACACTCTGCTTCTAACATTACCATTTAGGAGAAGCCAATTACTATTTACTGAGTATTGTGACTTCCTCAGTGATGAGTAACCTTGATGCTTTCAGTTTCAAATATTTGATTCTGTTCCTATTCAAATAATTGAATGAAAAATATTTCTATTGACTTGAGGAAAGGGTCCAAATTTCAGTTACACACAGACTTTGATGCAGTTATAGAATAAGCTATTGATTAGGAAAACAAAAAGGTGCTTCATTAAACATAGTGGATGTATGGCAAGTCTGGAATCCTGTTATCCTGATGTTGGTGACTGTCACTGTGTGAGTGTGTTGGCCCTGAGCTGTAGCACATTATTGTGCGTATCACCCTGAGGCTCATGTTTTCTAATTAGTCTAAGCCTCAGTGAGACAGGGACTGAGCTGTATAGAGGAGGAGGATGAAATGGTGTCTCTGCAGACACTGAGCAAGTTTTGCTGTTGCTGCAAGGAGCTGACTGATGTGGGAACTCCTGGCAGCTGCCAAACCCTTATGCACCAAAGATGCAATTTAGTATTAGTGTTTAAAAAGGTGTGACCAGTTTTACTTTCAAAACTGCTAGGCAGATTCTAATTGGAGTAACAGGATGTCTTCAACCACAGTAGAAGCATTTTTTACCAGTTGAAAACACTCTTGAGGAGCTAAGTGCTTATAGAAACAAAGCCAAGGCCTTCTACAAGAAATTCAAGCTCCGAGTGGGTTCAAGCCTCATAAAAGTTCAACAAAAGGCTCTTTGATTCAGATATCTTGGTCCAAAGGATATTTGACAGCTATTCAGCGAATTGTCTACATAGGGATACTCTAAACCACCTGAAATGAGTAGCCCCAACTACTAGAATCCTAGGTAAGATTCATCATTCTATGGAGCATCTGGATGGGAGGACCATCTTAGGACTGGACCACCAGTCTCTCTTAGACTCCAGACGCAACAAATGTAAAATATTTTTCCTCCAAAATAATGGGAAGCAGTTCCATTTTCCACGAAGCCAGTAGAGAAGTGCAGTAGGTCCGCAAGCTGTGGAAAGGCCTTTAAGTTTCTTTCAGAGGACCACAGGAGGACCGAGTCCTTCATCAGGACCAAAAAGTTCCAAGTGTCACACTGATGGTTTGGTGGTATGACTGCTGCCTTCTGGCTATGAGTATCTGTGTTGAGAATAATATAGATATGACTGGATAAAGCAAGTTTGACAGCATTGGTATGGCTAGCGCTAAAGGCCTGTCTTGTTAAAACAGGATGTAAGAACTTTCCCTCTTTCATCTGTTGTCACAGTGGAATCTGCTGCTCTGGCTCACGACCAAGAAAGTCACATAGAAAGAGTCGCACATGGCACATTGCTGTGGGACTACTAGGAGTGGAAGCAAGCAGGTGTAGCTCTAGGGCTCTTGCACTCAGTGGCTTGCTCTCAGGCAGCTGAGCCTCATGCTGTCTATGTCTTAGGTAGTCAAAAGAGCATCAGATGATGTATTTGGGATTTATGTCCCAAGCCAATATAGTAATGTAGAGGTCTGCTGCTGTAGGCATGTGGCCCTTAAAAATGAGGATGAGGCATGAGGAACATTGATTCAGTGTATGATGAGTATTTCTAGTCCCCTAAATTCAATCAATAACTATGACTTGCATTTTCCTTCCAACACAGAAACTGATATGCATGGGCTCACTATATCAGGTCAACCACTCTTCTTACTGTACCATCACTGCTTCTGCACCTTCTCAGCATTAGACTCAATTGCAGTCCCCAGACTCCTCTAAACAATGGAAATTAAACTTCTGGTCTATGTATCAGCTAAGAGCTGCACAGATGGATGTGTATTTTCCTCTTTTGGTGAGAAATCAAATACTGGAAAGATAGGTGTATCTATATGTTAGGGTGGTTACAACAAGTTGATCCAAACATTAGCTTTAACATGCACTCAGTTCAAATTAAAGTAGCTCCTTGGCTCAGGAGTTAATAGCAAGTTTGTTTTTGTAATACCTGCTCCCTGAATAATCAAATTTTTCAAATATTAGAAGTCTACAAATGCTGATTGGAACTGATAACGATATTAACTTCAGAGTAGGGAGGATGCAGCATTTCCATTCAGGTAACACCTTTTCTTACTTACAGGATACTTACATCCTACTTTCA